ATTTAATTTTTTTATTTATGATGCCAACGTTACTATCTGGGAAGGACATGTGAGAGAAAGTCTGACCATTTTAGGGAGAGTGCAAACTAAAATATAGAGCACAACATTCCCCACAATCTCTCTCTCTCCCCCCCAATCCCCACAGCAGGATGGTCAAGATTTTCAGAAATGGGTGCCTACATTTAGGCTCCTACATTCATATTTAAGCACTTTGGCTTTCTAAGACTTCATGATTGACACTGTGATATGAACTATAACTACATGGAACTTCCCAGAAGCATGGGAGGTTGAACTAGATCTGCCTGCTTCAAAAGCCCATGGTTGATACCTTCAAAAACAAGTTGTGGGGTTAGCCACATAACTCCCAATAATTTCAATGAGAATTATGTGGCTAAGTCCCCTAGTTGGCTTTGAAAATCTCGACACAAGTCCCCACCACTAGAGTTAAAGGAGAATCTCTTTTGGCTGATATTAGTATAGGACAATGACTGGGTATATCTGGTCTTTGAGGCTACTTACAGGACACCCCACGGTCCGAGTACATCCTGCCTCAGGAAGCAGTAACAAGTATGTGGCTGCTGTGTCTAGGGTCTCTAAATTGGAACCCAGACTAGTGGGTGGGCCTAGGTTCCCCTTCTGGCTACGAGTTAAGTGGCGTAACCACAAGAAGAGGGCAGGTCTTCTTTGGGAGTCAGAACAAAGCTGGGGCTGAAGACTCTACAGAGAGGAAACAGACTGCTTATTTGTTGGACTCTAATACCCTGCAAGTGGTTCAGTTGTTCTTTTTGACTCGGTCAGATGGCCTGCCATGGAAGACCTGTCAAGTCAGCCAGCAGGGGACACCAGAGGTGAAAAAAGGACTACAATACTTGACCCTGTCGCTTGGAGGCGCTCCAGAGGTAAGTGCCCCATTACAAGGACCTATGGAACTGTTTAGCACTTCTGACACCAACTAGGAGAGGGCAGTGGCTCACCTGGTCATTAGCCAGTTCATTACAGTACAAAACAAAAATAGCTAATGAAGCAAAGTAATGAAAACTTGTCTTATTAAATTTACAGAAGATTTTTTTCCCATTAACCTTTAAAGACCAGACATTAAAATGGACCAGCCTAAGAAACCAAATCAGTTCCAGGGCACTAGTAATCTTTTAATACAACATTAAAAGATTAGGCAGGTTCAGTTCATGTGGTCTAAATCAGTGGTTCTCAAAGCCGGTCCGCTGCTTGTTCAGGGAAAGCCCCTGCCGGGCCAATTTGTTTACCTGCTGTGTCCGCAGGTTCGGCCGATTGCGGCTCCCACTGGCCGTGGTTCGCCGCTCCAGGCCAATGGGGGCTGCGAGAAGCGACGCGGGCCGAGGGATGTGCTGGCCGCCCTTCCTG